TCATGTAACACGTTATCCGGAATCTTATTTTTGTTTTTGTTATGCTATTTCAATAAATGTTCCTGTTTTGTATATAACGGCATGATGGCGGCGCCGTCATACGTCGGTACAGCAAAATTGTAAAGAACACGTGCACGAATCGCGCCGCCCGGCGCTCGGTTTGTTTTGCAACAACGGGTATAAAAAGACCGCGCAGCGGCGGAACAGGCTTGCGCCCTCCTTTCTGCCAAGGAGGGTCGCGTTCGTATACGGCTTAGAGATCTCTAGTCAGATCGTTAAGCCAGTTCCTAAAAAGGTTGGGTTTAGTGGTTAAAAGTCACCACATAACCACGCAGCCGGCTGCGTGGTATGCTATGAGCATTCCCAACCTCCCTCCCCCGCTTTCCGGAAGTTTGCCCATATTTGCTTCGGGCGCAAAAAAAAACGGAACAAGCTTTGCGGCCTCCTTTCTGCCAAGGAGGGTCGCGTCCGTATACGGCTTAGAGATCTCTAATTAGACCGTTAAGCAAGTCCCTAAAAGGTGAGGTTTAGTGGGTAAAAGTCTTCACATAACCACGCAGCTGGCTGCGTGGTATGCTATGAGCATTCCCCACCTCCCTCCCCCCGCTTTCCGGAGGGCTGCCCATATTTGCTTCGGGCGCAAAAAAAGCCGAACCCTACTACCCGCTACTAGCTCATCCTAGACTATTCGGATAATTAATTCGTGGAAACGAATTAATTATTATTATCATCTATTAAAATAGTCTTAAAGCTTACAGTAAAATTTACAGTTGATTACCTGTGATCCGTGTATTTTGTTACCCTAAATTAATTCTATTTAACTACCTTCCTACATATATAGAATGCCAGTATAAGTCTACACTAATATTTTATAGAATAAAGATTTGATTGTTTGTTTGTTAGTTTGCATTGTAATGAAACCCTTACTCCGAAACAACTGGACCGATTTTAAAAATTCTTTCACGATTAGAATGCAATTTTTTTTGAGTAACATAGGCTATGCTAATAGCTTCACCTACACGGAATTTCGTTATGTCGCGGTACCTTTATTTTGACGCGGACGAAGCTGCTAGCGGAAAGCTATAGTCAACAAAATCTAAGAAATATATTTTGACAGCTATCAGTCTTAATGCACCAAGCTTGTCAACCAAAAAATGGAAACATACAATATTCGATTCTTAAAAAAAATCGATATCGATTATTTAGAGTTGGTAATCATTTACAGTTTGGTTTGAATAATACTAGAATAATTTTAAACTGGATAATTTAAAACACAAGATTTATAAGTTTCTTCGTATTTGTTGTTACTGCTTATTTCTAAAGGCATAGTTTAAATTTTTATTTAAGATTGAAACTAGATTAAAAATAAATTTATTCAATTTCAATCACTTTATGTACAACTAGTTGAGCTGATGTTGTTTAGATTAATTATTATTTGATTTTCAATAATGCAGTCAGAATTAATGTCTCTTTCACAGTCATTGTAGTCAACCAAATCTAAGAAATACCTTTTGAAGCGTACTTAGACGATTTAAAGTAACCTAAGTAATTCGTAAGTAAATTCGTTAAATAAATTCGAAGAATTATGAAGTTATTTATATTTCATTACAACGAGTATAGTTTTTATCACTAATTTAAATTTGAATCTTTCAAACAAAGCAAAATATTAACAAAATAACCAGTATCAACTTTTTTTACTTGACGTCGATTCAATTATATGTCGCTATGTAAGTTACCGTAGAGTTTGGATGATTAAAATTCATTGTTATGCGAATAATCGGCAAATATATTCAAATAATCGGTAAGAATATTAAATTAATCGTATATTTTGTTAATGTATTATTTGTTTATTTAAATTTTTAATTTTAAAATTCCATAAATTACATAAATAATAAATAAAACTAGTTTTTCTTTTGCTTTGTCAACGTAAATTGTGTAGGCAAAAAAAAATTCGTATATAAGGCCGCGCTGAGAAAACCACTACGTAATTTCAATCTCCCGCCATTTCGGGAGCTTACTGTGCGTAATTTTGTAATTTTTTGTTTGTCTTCTTATTTTGTGATTCGGCTTTAACTTTTTGTACCGTTTCTTCTATATTCGTTGAAGCATGTACCCGTATCAAAAATGATGATTAGGCATAAGTGGTAGAAAAAACAAAAAAAAAATTGATTACTGATGACTTTGAAAGAGACATTTATTTTGAATGCATTATTGAAAAACAAATAATAATTAATCTAAACAACGTCAGCTCAACTAGTTGTACTTAAAGTGATTGAATAAATTTATTTTTTATCTAGTTTTAATCTCAAATGTTTATACCTATGCCTCTAGAAATAAGCAATGACAACAAATACGAAGAATCTAATAAATCTTGTGTTTTAAATTATCCGGTTTTAATTTATTTTTGTATTATTAAAACCAAACTGTAAATGATTACCAACTCTAAATAATCGATATCGATTTTTTTAAGAATCGAATATTGTACGTTTCCATTTTTTGGTTGGCATGCTTGGTGCAATAAGTCTGACAGCTGTCAAAATGTATTTCTTATATTTGGTTAACTATAGTAATCAAGTTTTTTGTTTTTTTTTTACCACTTTTGCCCAATCATCTTTTTTTTGCCTACACAAATTTACGTTGACAAAGTAAAAAAAAACTTGTTTTATTTATGATGTATGTAATTTAAGGAATTTTAAAAATAAAAATTTTATTAAACAAATAATACATTAACAAAAATAATGATTCGATTACTTGAATATTTTTACCGATTATTTGAATATTTTTGCCGATTATTCGCACAACAATGAATTTTAATAATCCAAACACTACGGTAATGTACATAGCGATATATAATTGAAACGAGGTCAAGTAAAAAAGTTGATAGTGGTTATTTTTTTAAATATTTTACTTTGTTTGAGAGATTAGAATTTTAATTAGTGATAAAAAACTACACACGTTGTAATGAATTATTATACTTCATAATTCTTCGGATTTACGTTAAAGGTTATTTTAAATCGTCTAAGTACGCTTCTGCAAAGGTATTGCGGAATGATTAATGCGAAACGTCATAAGATATTTCTTAGATTTGGTTGACTATAGTTTAATAAAACGTTATCTACCGTATTTTACTTACGATTTTTATCGATGAAAATTTACAAAGGATCGATATTATTGCGGTAATTTGGGTCGATATCAATAATATAGATAGTAGCGTATACAATAGTATCAATATATTCTTCATACAAAATGTCAAAATATTCTAGCTTACTCAATGGTTTTGAATATTATTGATCAATATTATTGTCAGAGTATTGATATGGATACCTTTGTATCGATGTAGTTTTTTCATATTACTCAAAAATTTGATCTATATTTGATCGATAAAGCGAGTATTCGATAGTTGTTGTAGTTTGAAATATAAGTTCCTACAATAATAGTGGGAAAAAAATTATCGGCAGATTCAGATCGTGATACTAAACAACTTTCCCAAAGAAACATGGGTCGAAATATGAAAAAAAATTCGGACCTCTCATAAATCAAAATTGACTTTGCACTTTGTATGGAAAGTTTTTGTGGTATTTGCTCCATGTTTCTTTAGGAAAGTTGTTAAGTATCACGGTCTGAATTTGCCCTTAATTTTTTTCACATATTTTTTGGAATGTCCAGGATGTAAATGAATTAACTCAAAACCAGAAAGTAGAAATAGCCTATATAGAGCCCATAGAGCCGTTAAAAGCCGCGATCGTGGCATATTGAATTAGCGATACAAGCGAAGATGTAGTGTGATTTAAGTTTTGATTGTTGTTCAGTATTTAAAGTGTCAATTTTGGTTATTCAATCGGCAGTTTTTATTGTCACGAACCTTAAGCTCGTAACAATATTATTATTTTTATCCCCTTTGTGTCTCCCGTCTACAAAACGTGTAAAGCATGGCCATCTTTGCTTACCTGTGAAATAATATGCCACACCCATCATATGATTCACTTTTACATGTTTTGATGCAACTCGTGTTAGAGCCATGCTGAAGTTATGTTAGTAGTCTAGTTGTAGCACGTATGGGTCGGCTCGGCAGGGGAAGGACCACGCTCTCACAGAATACCAGCGTAAAATTGTAGCTTAATGCTTGCTTGCTGCTCGGTAAATATTTAAAACAAAACCCCTTCTACTCAGTAGAAGAGTATTTAGATAAAAAATAACACTATTATATATTTTTATATCTTTTATAGCTTTTAATTTTATTTTATGTATGTTAATAGTACATAAGCAGTGCCCTTGTCAAATTTGCAGTGCCTGAAAAGGGCGTCTAAGTTGTAAGCACATTTTTAATTTAATACCAATTATGTACACTTAGATTGCAAATAAATGATTTGATTTGATTTGATTTGATTTGCTTGCTCAGAATCTTATTTCAAATAGATCGTAGAATATTTTAAAAGGTTATATTTTGTGTTATTTTCTTCAAATTAGTTCTGTATGCAATAAACAAAACGGATTTCAAGGTCGCATGTAGTTCCGCGGACTACAAAAAGCGATCGGTCATTGACACGTATGAGCGGGTGCTCGTATCTCTTCAAATTTTATGTATTGGTCACCTCAAAAAGAATGTTGAATAACTTTTAAATGATTAAAATTTTCCACACATCTTTTCTTTTTTTAAATTATTATCTCTTTTAATGGGGTGTATTAGGTTTAGAGTTAATTCATAAGCTCGGAGTATATGTTCAATGTTATTGTGGTATTTTGATTTTAATACTCACGATAGTTTTTTTCCAATGAATGAATATTTTTTAAATTATTTAATAGATTTGATCAGTAGTGCTGTCAAAGCATCGAGAATCTAATATATTCAATTTATTGTAGATAACTCGCAATCTCAACCATCGGCCTCGTCCCGCACCTCGGACTCACCCCGTCCATCAGACTCACCCCGCCTGTCCTCGAGTTCTTCGACCATAATCACCGGCTGCCATGATAATATTACCCCCGGTGGCTCCATTAACATGGAAGACAAGGCGACTCTTTTACAGAGTACTCCGGGAGGGTTGAGGGCATGGAGGTCAGCAATAACACCGGATCTCGGTACGTAAATTTGAACAAATTTCAAGTTTAAAACATTTTGTGACAAATTATGTAGACTAACATAAATTTATATCATAACCATTTAGGAAGCCCGTTGAGCCCGCAGAGCCCGTCAGCCTCTGAAGACGCACCACCTGCTAAAAGACGTCGAAGCCAGAAATCATTGACGTTTGCATGTATTTCAGCAGTAGAAAGTGAACGGTTGCATGGTCGTCGTCCACTTTCTTCTGTAGAAATAGAAGAGCTTGTTAACGTCAATGACTCTGGCAGCGACGATGACGAAGATGAAGGGTATGAGAAGGGAGACTGATATTTTGTAGTAATAAACTTTTGGCATAACGTTCTTTTTTCATTTCAATCTTAGACCTAGAAAAATAAAAAAACTTAAGCGTTTTGAAACATGATGTATAAGCTCGTGTACATACGACTGGGCGAACGACATACGTTTCACACGTGTTACAAAAAAGCAATTGAAGAAGTGGTCTTTTTTGTATATTTCTAAGCCTACTCTATATTGAGTTGCATATCATTAGAAAGCCTATTTATACTTCTTTCTATGTGTATACGTCATTTTGTTATGTATAGAAGATAAAATAGAATAGCGCTAAAATAAGAAAAGATTTCACAATATACCTAATTTGAGCAATGGATTATAATTACATTTTTAGAGATACGATACTTCTTTTTTGTACATTTGAGACAAATGCATTTTTGATACAGTGAAAAAAATTGTAGCCGATAAAAGTTACATTTGTGGCATGGGACCGTTTCTTGTAATTTTGACTCTGCCCGCCCAATACACATAAATAAAACGAACATATAAGTATCATTAATAATAACTAAGTTAAACTAACTAACAAAAAGTTTAACTGTAAGCTCATAAATTAGATAAAAAAGTGTCAATTGGTGTGCCCCTAATGTGAGCCGTAACAAGTTTCGCGCCGGCTCTTACGGAAAGTGGGGCTAGCCGAGCGCCAGCCCTTAGAGGTTAATGCTACCCAAAATGCTACTAACAAGTTATAGTTGTAATAACTATAGGGATCGATGCACATAAATAAAAATATTAATCAAATATAATAAACACATTGTCACGTAGTTGTCTTACCACATTTGATATGAATTTACGAGATTTTTTCATTCTAACATCGATATATATATGCAATAACATTACCTTAAATGTTTTTGTTTATATAAAACTTGTACAATTTTTAACTAAGTATGTTTGATTTATAATCATCAACAAACATTTATAATCATTTACAATCAGCATCAACATCAAGTCCCAATTGTATCGATACACTATTATTATAAATGTAATTATGTAATAGTATTTTTATTTCCTTATAAAAGAAAACAAAACCTAAAATAATTATATTATCTGCTTAAGATATAATTGTCTTTTCTAATGTTAATAAATATTTTGTTAAACAACACAAAGAAAATATTCTTTTGACTGGAGATAGTTAATTATGTAAATCGATGTGACAAGTATTCGCAATATAAACACTAGAATAAATATATAAGAGAACCAATGGTCATAACCGATACGGGATATTCCGCTTGATATATGTGTCGATTAGAAACAAAACTTGCCAAATCCATTCGGGAGGACTTATGGGAATGAAGGATTTTTTGTTCTGAGCTCTTTGCACAAGCTGTATGTAGAGTTTTTATCATTATGGCTTCGCCTAAGTTGGTATTACTGATTTAAAAAAAAAACATCTATAACCATCACAAACTAATAAGATGATAACCATAGACCAAAAAAAAATTAGAAAATCGAGATTGAAGTTTGGATTTGACCAATTTCAAAACCAAGCTATGGATTTGACTAGTTTTCTTACTAATGTAGTTGGATTTGACCATGTTTGATTCTTAGTTTTGGCATATTTTTGGCAGATTTTGATACTGAAACTTTATTATGTCAGGGGTTACCAATATTTCGGGTTGGTTGGGTTGGGTGTGTAATAACAATAAATTAATAAAACTTTAAAATCGATTTCTTTTATTTTAAATCCTTTATTCATCATATCAACATTATATCTGAAATTTCTTTAAACAAATATAGCTGGAAATTCTTCAGTGAACTCACATTGTTCATCATCGTGTTCATGAGCATGAGCAATAGATGGTTTAGGGCTTGATAATACTTGTTTAAAATACAATAAATTTATATGTTCTTCCCAGTTCTCTCCAAAATGTTTGATTAATAACTTGGTTACGTCATTTAATTTTTCTTGTTTTACATCAACGTATAACTTTACCACATCTGGGTTTATAACAGAAACTGTCTTTTTTCCTTTACAAATGTTTTGATACTTATTTAAATTGTTTTGATAAGACTCTTCTGCTCGAATGTACACATTTCATTTGTCACGAGTTCTTTTAAGAAAAAATCTTTATGATTTCTTTATGCATGCATTCATTTATGCATGTTGCTTGTAGATTTAAAGAGTTCAGCTGATGATCGTTTCCAGTCGTAAACTTTTATTACAAGTCCCAAGTAGTATACGGTTCCATGACCAGAGAAAATTTCGTAAAAATCATCAGGGTTAGTCATTACCTCACGCCTTTTAATCTCTTTTTCAATTTTTGCAAAAACTCTATCTGGTGGCAAAAACTGGCCAATAACTGGAAACAAGATTTCTAGGCCGACAATGTGTTTTGGTGCAACAGATTGATTTTTGTTTTGGCCACTGCAGCCATCTGCCACCAATCGAACCTGTGTTGTGTGATCTAAACCGGGACTCAGAAAAATTGTATTTAAACAATGGAACACAGCGATTTCGTTTGAAGCTTTTGGCAAGACATCTTCTGTCCAAGTGTAGATAAATGTATTATTAATATTCAAAGGCGTTTTTGAATGTCCGACCACCACAATAAAGTTGTATACATACAACTGCCTTAAGTAATAAGCACTTTGATCGGGAACTTTTGGACAAGGTTGATTCTTTTGGCAGTCAAAAGATAGAATCAAAAGGTTCTCGCTGTCGTCTTTTAATAAACGATAGAATGCTTTGGCACGCAATTTATGTATTCTGCTCTCGATCATTAATGTATTTTTGCTTCATTGTTTTTCTTATGCTTCATTCTTTCTTGATAAGCAAGTGGAGCACACATCAGTTCGGGGAGCCCCAAAACCTAAGTTAAAATTGGTCCTAAAAATTTCTCTGAAGTAAGACGGCTTAATGTTTTTATGTTCTTCAGTGGTTTCTGCAATAAATATTTTGTAAAGTTTATTAATATTGAGTTCCGATGATAAATATTGTCTGCATTTTATTTTACTTCTGCAGTAATGTGACAGCTTTTCTTTTTGGTGCATATTTTTGTGTTTTACGCCGTCTCCCTCTATTCTCTTGTGCAGGTTCCCCCCATTGCTTTGAAGTGTCGATTAATAACACCGGTCACTCTTCCTTTTTTTAAATCCAAAATAGATAAAAATGTGCGTTTGCAAACTGGAATCAGAATGTGGCGTCGTCGTGCAAAGTATATTATCGCCATTTCTTTTTTATTACCATGATTATTTATTGGCCGATGTCTCTTAGTAGAACAAACTTTGGTATGAGTTATTATAAAGTTATCCTGATAAATTTTGTCCGGTTTTTTGTAGAAACGTCTATTAAATTCTATTATATCGGCATGACTCAATGAAGTGCACCTGTATGATTTTGTATAGTGATTACATGGAATTCTTAAATTTGGTGGCTCTTTCGGAGCATACCTGAAATAATAAAAATTATAAATATTTTAAAAGTAAGTATACCTTTAATTTTTTGTAGTTATTTAAATAAAATATGTATGTATTTAGTATAATTTTATATCCGTCTATCTATACCACATTTCATTAAAATCAGATCAGTAGTTTAGGCGCGAAAGCGTAACAGACAGACAGACACTTACCCATTTATTATATTAGTAGGGATTAGTTAGACATGGAACATGGTTATACTTAAACACTTGCGTTATCAAGATTTATCGAAATAGGTTTTCTTATTTTAGCAATTTTAAGAAACATAGACGCATCAATTATTGTATTATCATTTAATTATTTGGTAACACATAAACATCTGTTTGGGCCTTGATGCAGTCGGGTAAAAATCTACTTCATGCCATCCCATTGGAAATAAAAAATAACTACGAGAAAAATTTACACACGCACTGACCATGAGTTTAGCACCCCTGACCACGAGGCAGCATGAGGTTATCAAAGCAATACCAAACTTACCTTTCCTTCTTCATTTTATTGCATTTCCAATTCTCTTTTTGTTGTGTCCTCTTTCGTGATAACTGGAGATTAGTTTCCTGTATTACATTATCCATTTTATTGTGAATAAATACCAATTTTTAATTAAAAACGGAAACGAGAATACTGCGCGCCCGTTAAGCTACACAAAACGCCACACAATGGCCGCCGGTCGGCTGTCATTTTCATACATAGTTCTGGCTTCTGATTGGTTGCATGGATTAGAGCGATTTTGTTTCTAAGCTTAAAAGGATTTGACTCTTTTTGATACGAATCAGTCGATTTGAATCGATTTTTCTACGAACTGCTTAGGATTAGACTCTTTTTGAAACTGATAAAAGATACAACATTTTATATAAAAAAAATGGAGCACTCAGTAAAAAAGTCTTTATTTTGGATTTGACCAGTTTTGTTTCTAAACGACACATATGTAGATTATTTAGATTTATAAGGAGCCCTTATGGACGGATAGTGATAGTAAAGTTTATATACTCCCAGTACATTGTAATTTAAGTAAGTATGTTGAAAGATTTCCGACGTATTCCAAATTGAAAATATGAACATAGGGTTTAAATTGAAAAATATATTATAATTTAAGTTTAAGAAAATAATTTTAAATTATTTACACCTTATAACATTTTTGATAATTATATATTTTTAAACTGTATTTCCATGTGTTTTGAATTAAAAGTTATATATATTATGAAAAATTTTATTAAAAATAATTTAGTTAAATTCTTTTTTGATAGATGAACTAAAATTATTTTACAACAAAAACTTAGACAATCATTACAATTACGTAAGGCACTTGATGACTGTTTAATAAACTTAAATAAAGAGATAAAAAGTAAACTTTTATATAATAGGGCCATTTAAGACTTTTTTTAAATGACAGTGTTTACGATATTCTTTTATAATGTAATAATCATGTTATAATATAAGAACTTTAATATTTTAAAATAATGTACACCTTAACTTGATTTTATTATACCAAGTTTTGCTCCATTGAAAAAAGTTTTGTAATTCAATTTTTTTTCCTTTTGCCTATGGGCGTGTAGTGTATCTGTGGCGCACGTTCATCTATATATACGGTAAACTAAGAGACATTCGTCCCCCATTTTCGCACATGCTAAGCCCAAAGTTATAAATGAACTTCAAATAGTTCAAAATCTATTCTGTCCTAGGGCCACTAACTCGCCCTATTATGTCCGTAATGCCGACCTTCACCGAGACTTAGAGCTCCCAACAATCCAACAGTTCCTTAAATCACTCTCTGAGAGATTTTTCAAAGCCTCAGAGTCCCACTCAAATCATCTTATTACAGCCCCTCTCCACACTCGCTATAGTGTGCGCAGACCGAGAAACTCTCTCTCGGACCCACCCCAACAAGCTTTCGGCTGACCTGAACTGCCTCCTGGCGGCTCAGGCCGAGCCTACTTAACACATCCCTTAATCTTCCTTAGTTAGGCACACTTCTAAGCGGATTTTCGCCGCTTGCGCCCTCTTTTCTGCCAAGGAGGGTCGCGTCCGTTTACGGCTTAGAGATCTCTCGTCAGATCGGTAAGCCAATCCATAAAGGCGGTGTTTAGTGGGTAAAAGTCTCCACATAACCACGCAGCCGGCTGCGTGGTATGCTATGAGCATTCACCGCCTCCCTCCCCCGCTTTCCGGTGGGTTGCCCATATTTGCATAAAAAGACATTCGAGGAGTATTAAATCTACAGTCAATACCACTAGACGTATTATTATTTATTCCCCGATATTACAGTTCTAGCATTATATAAAACAAATCAGCTGCTAAAATATTGCCTAATTTATTTATCCACAGGTCTGTCTAAAGACAGAGCAAACTAATTTCTACTATGTAAAAATTAATGTTTGTTTTTTTTTTCGTATTTTTTGCGCTGCCATACCGTTCAACAGGTTGCAGTTAAACTTTGTCAACCTATTGGTTGCATTTGCGCGAAGGTTATAAACATAGTACAATTAACTTACACTAGGTGGCGCGCATATCGTACTGAATATTTATTTGAAAGTTGTAGATACCTATATAATTATACGTTTTACATTTAAAACAATATTTCCACAATTATTTCTTCTGCGGCAGCAATGCACTGGGATATGGGTAACGCCGGTTTAGACCATACCGGGGCCCTTGGGCACACCAGAATTTGAGACCCTGTTGGGAAGTAAAAAAAAGTGAATGACAAAAACATTTTTCTCTTATGATCTCATATTTACTATAGTTAATTGGTAAAAATCAACTCATTAATGACTCCACGACTTTTTCTGCCACCAGGGTGGTGCCACTTTACAATGAGGTAAAATATTTAACAGATTTCATAGCGCGGACGACAGTTTCTTAGGAAAACGTAAACTCTAATATTTCTTTCCGTATCATTAGTTATATTTTATATTACTTACATTAGAAATGAATAAACCAAACCATAAATATAACTAAAAGTGGAAAACTTAAAAAAAGGAGTTATAAATTGAAAAAAACCACTGACGCATTGTGTTGTGTATTAGTATAATACTCTAGATAATGATAAAATATTATATAAAACCATATATCGGCCTTTCATCACGGGGGCCCTCATGACTCGTGCCTTGGGCACGAGCCCCGTGTACTCTTATGGTAAAGACGGTACTGGATATGGGTAGGAAACAATATCGTTAAGTATTATTATAGACAAGGAACTTGACAAACGGATTGAATTTTATTGTGTATCAAAACTCAATATTATAAAGCCAAATATATCGATATTTACAATCTTAAGATTAGTGACCAAAGTTTAAGTACCTATATTATCAAATAATTTTAGTTTGTTTAATACTAGCTATAAATTCACTTACTTGTGGAATGTTAACCCACTTTCCTTTTGGTAACGAATTTTACGTATAACTAATACGTAAAATTCGTTATTACTAAAACGAACACTAACACTCATTATTACTAAAAATAATTCTTACTATTTAACTAAAATCAAACCACATAAAATACTCCTTTTTTAGTTAAAAATTTCAAAATACAGAGATACGACTTAAATAACACGTAACTGACTTGGGCATATTATATCAATTTTAGTTCCCGGTACGAAAAATGGTGGCGCTTCAAATTGAGACAGATATTTTTATGGTATAACTACTCCAGCGCACTTCTAGAGGAGATAGAGGTCAGTGGATGTACGATTATAATTAGGGATGTCATTTATTTCAGAAAAAGATCGATTTTTAAATCGATTCAAATCGGAATCTGATGAATTGATTCATAAACAAATTGAGGTCTAAAAGACCGATTTTTGAGAAATCGATCTTTATTCGATTTACGTTAAGAGTATATATATATACAATATGTAACAAAAACCCTGTGGTTCCCGTTAAGTGTGTTATCAGGATCAGTAGCTAAGCGTATAGAAACATTTTTTTTTCAAAGCTTGCTTTTGTCGGCGTGCCACCCGCGTGCAACGTTGTCACTCTTCCAAGGGGTCAAGGTACGTTGTCTAAACAGAGTGTTCACTTTTACTGAATTTATTTTAATATTTATTTTGTTTGAAAATTATCACTTTTTTTATTTTACGGGTTTTAATTTAATATTTAATTTAATTTTTCTACAATTCTACGGTACTAGTATTACTTGTGGTTTCATTTATTGCATATATGTGGGACCCATTCTGTATATGTATTTATATCCAATTTCAAAAGATACAACAGAGTACAGATTGCAAACATAACTTTTTTTATATAACCCATTACGTAGAGGCGAAAGAAATACACAGCAATTTTGCGAGTTTTTAAATAGAAATGTTCTCACCCTTGAGTTTGGGTTTATTCAACCAATTGTAAATAATTTTATAGTTCTTATAAAAACGGAAAAAGATTCGATCTCGATTCTCTAGGGTGTAATAACGATTCACTGGATCGATTCAGTACTACATACCGATTTAAAAAATTTATCTGTTTGGCACAAAAAATCGATTCTTCGATTAATCGATCTCAGATTGACATGCCTAGTTATAATTTAATATATATATTATAAAAAACTTTATATGTATGCTTTTTAAAAATTACATAAACAAAATTAAATTTGCACTATACGTTCTCATCAATTTTTGTTGGAACCTCTGTCACAATTGTCTTTACTGTATAAGCGTGTTGAAACCGTGTTTCAACCGTAGACAGAGTATCATTTTCTATCTACGGTTGAAACATAAAGAAAAAAAAAAACAAAATTTGCACCATGGATGTATAACAAGTGAGACAGAAAATTTTGTGCTGAATGTTGCAATAGATTTTAATATAAAATTTCTTATTTTTATGGTTTTTGTAAAATAAAGCGTTTAACATATGATTTCGTCAGAATATTTTTGTATGATACCGTTTCTGGGGTGATGGAGTCACCGCCTACTTTTTCTACACATTCGGAAGCACCACCGTTAAGCGAAGATAGTGGCCTGCTGATTACAAGTGGTTCATTTTCTAGTGACTCCGCAAGTGGATGGCATCATATCACGTCCGAGGTGAGTTGTGATTATGCGTCATTAGTAGAATCTAATTAGTACCTACATTATATTGCTATTTAGATATTTAGCCATGTCATAAACGTACTTAAATTTTGTGAATTTTTAACAAAGTATAAAATTATAACCAAACCTGAAATATATCATTTGATATTTTGTTCAATGTTTATTGAATAAATTCTAATTATATCAGTTTTTAAAGTATTCGAGGTTAGAAAGTAAAAGTTTAGTGTAAATAAACTTCAACTTTAAATTTCCGATACATTGTTTTGCATTTGCACGCCTGCCATGTAAACAAATAAACACCGTTCTATTTACTTTGTTTTTCATAGTAGTTATGGTATGTTCAATTCAGTGCATTATTTAGTAATATATTTCGTATTGATGATATTAATAAAAATTAATTTCATTCCAATATATATTATATGGTACACATTTATGGTTACTGTAGCTGAAATTGTTATAATAAATTTTTTTTCTGTAAATATATTGAAGGCATGCCTATGTACTCTTTATTTGTTTGGTATTTTATTTCAGTAAATGTATTCTGTTAATAGATGTGGAATAAATCAATGATAATATTTCAATGAAAAATGAAAAAAAATGCATAAATTGCTCTAACAAAATAAATAAACTATTTACTTGTACAATATGGTCACAATAACTGTGCACCTCTTGAGGATATCACATACAATGTATGGTGTGCTAAATAAGCATCTCTAGTATGAGGTTTAGATTGAAGGATTTTTTGATTGAATATATATTTATAAATTAATAAATGAATAATAATAAATAATACAAGATTATGTATGTCTTTTGGTTTTTTGTGATGGAAACTTAATAAAACAGTATTGAATTCAAAAACATATCATTTTCATTAAAATCATTTTCTGACATTATTACTAAAATGTTTATTATTTAGCGACATAGGTGACAGTGATGATCATGATAATAAAAATGCAATAATTAATTACCAATTATATACAGCGTTAATGACTAATAATATACCATTGAATTATCACTATAAACAATTGGTTATATGCCTATGCTAACCATACCTAGTTTAATAGTTTATAATTTACTACTATTGGTCATGAATATGTGAACTGTTATTTATAGAGTGTTGTAATCGTTATTTATTTTTCATTTTGTTATAGTATAGAAGAGAAGTACATTATGTGATATAATGTTTGTATTATAATTACAGATGTAGTAACACAAGTTCCTTAGAGTTAAGCATCTAATATTATTTTTCAAACTGTTACCGGTACAAAATAAGATAAGTTTTATAAAAATCTATTAGTAGTATAGTAGCTGCCACTGCCCATAGGGTCGTTGTGCTGGTTTTCGGCCTTTTAGTGGAGTTGTCAACTTCAAGGTACAATAAAAAATAATTGCCATTATGGTGACCTAGTGCTGTTAATGTTAATTTGTAGCTTATATAATGTAGTTTTCATTTTTATAACTCATTGGTGCTACAAAACAAATATATTTATTATAATAATTTTAGACGTAAAAAATATGCAAAACGCTAGTTTTCGGCCACGAATTTTAGATTTCGGCCTACAAGAATTTTAGTTTTCGGCCACTGTATTAGAAGAAGTAGTACAAACTTAAAAGTGTTTTTGTAAAATCAGAAAATGGTAAAACGGTTTGGGAAATCGGTGCAATTAGTTTATTCAATCGGTGCTTGTGATGTTTTAACCATAACATAATTTTTTTTCTTTTTGGGGGTGGTTTTGATAAAAAAATAACCATGATTAATCATTTTTCTTTGAATCATAATCTATTAGTAAAATCTTTTAAATTTAGCAATCAAATCTTCTCATTTATGAATATTTTGTACTTCCTCATATTTTAGTTCATCAAAATCTGTTACCGTCTCTAATCATCAATACATCAATCCATTTGGTGCAAAAGTCACATCCAATATTTTTTCCAGATCTTCGTCAGCATCGTTTATTAAAATATTATGACACAAGGCGCAATTTACTCTTACCCTTTTCTCCTTCATAGATTTCTTGGATTTAGCGATTTTTCGTATTTAAACTTTTCTTTTTCAAAGTTTCTTAATTCTTACTTCTCTATTTTAACTTTCACTTTATCTTCATAAAATTTTCGCCACAACGCAGATGAAATTGCTGCAGAAGAAGGTGCACGTGTACTGTTAACAGTTAATTTTTTTACAGGTTACGGTTTATATAATGTTTTTCTCTCTATCTCTATATTCTTTAGTACTGAAACTAATGTTTCACTAGTTTGTAGAGATGTACTAGTCTGTTTTGTTGGAATATCAATCCACACATTTTCTAAAGTTTCAGACACCTTGTTTGCTATCATCGGTGTTTATAGTGGTATCATCGTGGTCATTTGAGTCGTTATTGTCAGTACTGTTGTCGTTGGTAGGTTTATTTGAGTTTGGATTACAAGAACATCATATAACGATACTAAGGAACCAATATCCAAATAACTTCCTGACAAATTCAATGTTGAAATTTTGTTAGAATACTTTTATCTCGGTCTGTGTTGCACAGACTTTCTGGAGACTTTAATGGACTTAGCGTTCTTATTGCCTAATTGGAGAATTAAGTCTTCGTTGGCCTGTCTGTGTGGAAAAATATTGATCTGAGTAGACTTTTGTTTCAATTTCCTTATCTCATTCACTATAATAGCAACTTTTATGTTTTTTTTTTCTGTCAAAGTTGATTTATAATGTTCCTAAACTTTTCTTGTGGAAACTAGGTCTGCATTAGTTATTTTTTTAGAAATATTTATTCTTTTTTTCAATTATCACCGATTAGTCTTTCCAGGGTTTTCCGGACTCATTTTGAGATCTTTATCAGATTGAGATCTATTTAGTAAAGTCCGCATTTTCTGAAGCCATTTACTTATTATATTTCTTTGGAGGAGCCACCTGAAGAAAAAAATTCTTATCGAATCTTCTTCCTAAAACGCAATGTCAATGAAACATGTCATGAAATGGCCGTAAACGTAAACTAAAACATCATTCTATTTTCCGCCGCCTTATTCTTTCATATAATTTTAAGTTGGCCGAAAACTAAATAATTATTTTAGAGTCAATCCAGTTTTCGGCCACGACCGAAATGGGTATTTTTGTTTCATCACTAACTATTCAAATTGCAGTACTTGGTGGCCGAAAACTGAAAGTTAGTGTCTACGCACGCTACGATACAATATATGTAAGAGAGATGAATTGTAGAACGTAATCAAATAAATGAAAGAGACAAAGTATTTAGGCTAAGCTAGGGCTACTTTTCGGCCGCATGGCCGACAACCAAATGATAGCACAATTTTATGTGTCACTTTTCGGCCACTTAATTTATTAACTTTATCAATAAAGTACTATAATAATCAATGTCAAATAACTGTATTAGGTTATTTATACAGTGAATTATAAGCACAATATTAAGTAATTATATTAAATACAGCACGAAACGTTTGAATGGAACGTGCGCCACTATTTTTTTGCTCGATCTTACAGGTTTTGACTGTTTCTGAGCCGACGTCGAACTAAACTATTTATTTTAAATCGCGTGTTGTGTTTACCTGATTAATTAATGTTACCAGATATATTGCAAGTATTTAAAAATGCATTAAACTTCATTTCGTACGATAATATTTATTAAAACCGTTATTAAATCAAATTTACTGCATCACCTCGTGCCAAAGGCCGACATTTAGACCCGGCCGGCTTACCGGCGCATCGACCCTATATAAATAAATAGCCCTTTTTAATATTACAAGTTAAGATGAATTGGTCTAATAAGGTGGTGGTTGGAATTTAATGATAAGATGGAAAAATTATTGGTAAATACACAATTTGTTTTTATATTATGCATGAAAAGTAAAGTGACCAGAATAATTGGTAGAAATAGAAATCAGTATGGGTTTAGAAATTTAGTTGAGGTATACTTACTTCATTCACCAGATACCTATACAAAGAAATATGTTTTATTTAGTGTTAACTCTTCCCAACTGTTACGGATGTGAAAAATCAAGAAATATAAAATTAATTGATTATGAGCTCTTAAGTATGTGATAATAATTAACTACTAATATTATGGGAGCTTGTGCTGTTAAAGTGCTAAATATCTGTATATTTTAATAAGTCAATGTTCCTCACATTGATAAAAAAATTCTTGAGCTTATATTAGATTATATATATATATATATATATATATATATATATATATATATATATATATATATATATATATATATATAAATAGATAGATAGATTAGATATGTTCAAGCTATTGCATAGTTTGGGCAGGACCTGATTTACCCACAGGCTATATAGGCTGGAACCTAGAGCTCATGGTTGGAGGGGGTGCTGAGCTTGCTTTTGCAAGCACATCTATAGAAAATAAAATTTGCTATGTGCCACAAGTAATTTACTTCCTTACTCTTTCTTTATTTTTGTAACTGTTAAATATTGTGTTGCGGCGAATACGAGTGAAACACGCTGTGGCTGGTGACAAACTCAATATATTTCCAATAGCGGTCGCATCTTACATACATAACATTCCTCCCCTAATATTTAAGACTAATAAAATATTAAATACTAATATAATAAAATATTTTATAATTAATTTTGGGGCGCTGACGAGTCACCCTGCGAGCCGGAACCTCTCTTACTCTCCCCCCCCCCTCATGTGCCGGAACCTCGTCTTGGTTACTCTCTTCGCCCTCAAAAAACTCGTCATTGTCGTCAGAAGAAACGGGTCTTCGGACTCCTCTTGTTATCGTCACCTTTGACGGCGTCCGGTCATACTCGGAGTCAGTAGGAGTGTATGATGCCGCAGATTGTTCATTGCCCCCATCTCTCCCCAAGACGTCGTGGAGCATTCTCTCAGATGGCACGGGTGATGGCACGTCTGGTGGCAAGTGTGGCGCTGACGTCTGCGCGTACGGCTCCGACACAGGTGATTGCAGAAGAGACCGTGAAGGTGGTGGAAATGATGTGGCGTCATTTCTTT